GGTATTTTGATTAAATGTGCTTCACTCTAATGAATTTCACGGAAAGAAAGGAGCCAAAAATGTCAGCTGAATACTTCATCCGAGGTTTAGCAACCACCCCCTCATAAAAATAAAAATCTTCCAAAGCTTTGTTATATGGTAAATTAGATAAATCTGCCGCTTCCTGGTTTTTTAATTGTCATTCCTGTGAAAAGTGTCACTATAATAATGCTGACTTCTTCCTGCCACTTAATGTTACTGACATTACACTCTCTTTTAGATTTTTCAGGAAAAGGATGAGATAAAAAGCAGTTTCTTTGGCAGGGTGAATTCTCATTTTCCATATTAATACTACATTATAATCAAATAGTTTCATGAAGTTTTGATCCTAAGGCTGAAAGAACAAAAACACCCTTTAAAGATGCCTCTCCAGAGACACAGCCCGGAAAACGCTCCAGCTTCCTATTATGTTACAAGTATTCTGTGTTTCCCTCCTTTGCACAAAGTGTCAATCAGGACTAATGACTTCCAAACTCACAGACTTAATAAGGAGAATTAAACTGTATATGTTATTGGTAAACTCAAACTTACACAATTCCCAGGCTCCCCTTCGGAGAAATGTTAAAGGGAACCATGTGCAAATGGCTTTGTGCCCAATGCCAAGTGCAGGCACCAACGCCGAGCCACCTGGGAGTCACTTCCTCTAAGCCTTCGTGTGCACAAGTGCAAAGTGAGAAGAGGATGGGCCACTGAGCTACGATCTAAGAAACATTTCAGAAAAGCTGAATTCCTGTGTCCTACACCAGAGAGAGAGTGGGGTAGCAAAGAGCACTGACCTTGGAATTAGGGGACGTCACCCTGCCTAAGTGGCGTTATACAAGTTACTTACCATTTCCGGGCCTTCATTTCCTCATCTATGAAAGAAATAGGTAGGCTTAGACCCTGTGGGGAACCCCAAGGCACCACTGAAGTTCTACAAGGGGTCCAAGCATGGGCCACAGACCGGGCAGATATCATCTCTAGCACATGCGTACACTCTTTCCAAGCACACACGAATGCCGTTTAATAAAGTTTAGATTAATGCAAAGCTCACAGATACAGACAACAGACTGATGGTTGCCAGAGGTGGGGCAGAAGGTGGCAGGTGGGTGAAATGGGTGAAGGTGGTCAAAAGGTAAAACTTCCAGTTATAAATGAATAAGTCATGGGGATGTAATCTACAGTATCCTGACTATAGTTAATTAATACTGTATTGCATATTTGAAAGTTGCTAAGAGAGAAGATCTGGAAAGTTCTCATCACAAGAAAAAAGTATTTTTGAATCAAATAACCCAATTACAAAATGGGCAGGGGACATGAACAGACATTTCTCCAAAGAAGATATACGGATGGCCAATAGACACATGAAAAGGTGCTCATCATCACTAATCATCAGGGAAATGCAAATCAAAACTACACTAAGATATCACCTTACACCTGTTAGAATGGCAAAAATATCCAAAACCAAGAGTGACAAATGTTGGAGAGGCTGTGAAGAAAAGGGAACCCTCATACACTGTTGGTGGGAATGCAAACTGGTGCAGCCACTATGGAAAACAGTATGGAGATTCCTCAAAAAGTTAAGAATAGAAATACCTTATGACCCAGTCATCCCACTACTGGGTATCTATCCTAAGAAGCTGAAATCAGCAATTTCAGAAGCTCTATGCACCCCTATCTTCATTGCAGCATTATTCACAATAGCCAAGTCATGGAACCAAACTAAGTGCCCAGCAACTGATGATTGGATAAAGAAGATATGGTATATATGTACAATGGAATATTACTCAGCTATAAAAAAGGACAAAGTCATCCCATTCACAACAACATGGATAGACCTTGAGGGTATTATGTTGAGCGAAATAAGCCAGACAGAGAAAGACGAACTTGGTATGACTCCACTTATAGGTGGTAGTTAACGTATGGACAAAGAGAACTGATTGGTGGTTGCCAGGGGAAAGGTGGGTGGGGGGAGGGCACTAGGGGAGAAGTGGTGTAACTACAACATGACTAATAATAATGTACAACTGTAATTTCACAAAGATGTTAACTTTTATAACCTTAATAAAAAAATAAATTAAAAAAAAATTCTAACCACAAAAAAAAAAAAAGAAAGAAAGAAAAAAGTATTTTTGTAACTATGTACGACAACGGATGTCAACTGGAATTATTGTGGCGATCATTTCACAATATATATAAATATCAAATCATTATGTTGTATACCGAAAACTAACATGTCACATGTCAATTATACCTCAATTTAAAAAAAAAGACAGTAATAGTTCAACTAGCATTCTATAGGAGTTCTGGAAGTTTTTTGTGACGTTTAAGAGGGTCCCTCTATACTCAAAAGAATTAGAAAATTATTGGTCTAGAATTCTAGATAATCTCTAAAGCTCCTTTGCAGGGATTAATACATAATCTATCCTGCCTGGGAAAGCAGCTCAGCCATGTCACGTCTCATGTCACGACTCATGTCAGCGAGGAAAGAAAGGGTTAAGTCTACCCAATTCAAGACATTATCACTTATTTTTTAAAATTCATTTAAGTCTTAAAACAGAAGTAAAAAAAGAATCTGCATTTTAGTCAATTATCACTAAACATTTCTCTTCCATCCAAGACTACCCAAATATTTATTTCTCTGTAGCCCGAAATCCCTTGAAAAGACAAGGTGGAGTGTACGGTTTATAGCCAGTCACTGTTATTCGGACGTAAAGCCCATCTTTATGTGTATTATGACGGTAGTAATACTAACTGCCTTTTAAAAACCATTTAATACCTTCTGCGACTTTTATGGTACATCAAATTACAAGTTAACTCGCGTGAAAGAAAATTGTCTACATTCTAACATAGCTACATGTAAAATGAATAATTGATAAGTCAGGGCAAAGAGCTTTGAAAACCTAGAGGTATCATATGGATAGTGAAAAATAACACAGACAGACAACCAGCGCCCTGAAACTCAGCAAGCATTCAATAAGAAACAATCAGTGAAGTTGGACGAACGCCTGCGTGGGGTTTTTTTTTGTTTTTATTCTTTCTGGAAAGGAGCTCTGAAAGCTACTCTCTCCAACTTGGACAAAAGGCAGGGTCTCAGAACAAACAAAACCAGCTCCTTGAGAGCTTCCAGAACACTGGGAAGCCGGGGGATTGCAAATTGCTGCCAAGCCTTTGGCTTCTAGGTCACTGCCACTAATCTGCCTGCGGCTCACAATGATGGAAGAAGGCACAGATCCCGTGGGGAGAGCAGCTCAGGGACCAATGAGGACCCGTCTACGCCGGTCCAACCACTGGCATCTTTCTGCAACCAGCCTCAGTGGGACAGACCCACCCCTCCTAAGAAACGCTCCACACGGAGTTTCCCCCAAGGACCAATATTTTGCTGTCTTGACGCAGTGAAATAAGCATGGTGGCAGTCAGACACTTCAACACAGACCATCACCAACCAACCTGCTCACTTCTGCGATTCTGAGATGGGACAGTGAACTGGACTGTGAAAAATTTCTGTCGCATGCACCTACAAACAACTCATCATTTCCCTCCTTTCGTACCACTGAAAGCTTAAGAGTCAAAATCAGGATGACAAAAAGTTTCCAAAACACGTTAGCACAAGTTTCGTTTCACTTGCTCCACGCAGCTGCACAGCTGAGGCTGAGCAGTCGGTTCTGCCCTCTGCCAACCAGCATCCCGCTCTTCCTCCTCCTCCGAGGGGTGAGGTCAGAGGGACTAATCTGCCTACTAAACCCCCTTAATCACTAAACTGTGTTTTATTCTCTGAAAACCCCGAGTGCTTTGAAGTCTCCCGCTCTCCTTCCTCAATTCCTTCTCCACCTCCAGGCACCGTTTTTTTTTTTCTTTCAAAAATGGAGCAGATGGCCTGAAGCAGTTGAAAAAGAAATTTATGGGGCTTATTTAACGTGATTAAGGTCCAGGAACATTAGTAAAAATATATAAATTAGGCTAAATGCAGACTTGGAAGTCTTCATAAGGAAAACCCACCAGGGAAGAGGCAACAAGCAGAAAGGTCTTACATCCCGCCTTGAACCCGGTTTCCTGAAGGCACAGCCTTTCCCATTTGGACGGCCTTAATCTACTTTACTTCCAGCAGAGCCAGTCTGTTCATTTCCAGATGTAAATACAGGTCCCAACTTTATGAAAAATCAGCAACCAGCATAGGCAGCCCAATTTGCCTCTTTTATGGCATCAGCTGCGTGTTCTCCAGGGAATAAAAGAAAAAGGGAAGCTGTGGCTTGTCCCTCCCATTTGATCTCTGAAGTGATTCTCATTGGGGCTCAGATAGGCAAGAAATTATAAGCACCCTCCCCTAATTTAAAGATGAAAACCGGAGATGGCCAGGACTTTCAGTTCCACACTTCTGGTTTGTGGTCTGACCTGGGTCCACGCTGGGACTGCAGAGGCCCCTGGAACAGAATGAGCCTACCGCATCATCCTCCCGATGTCCAGCTCACAGTGTCCCCTGCTTCCCAGAGACGAGCTTAAGCCAGATTCCCTCAGTGGGAGGAGGGGCTGAAGGAACCCTGCTTCTCATCAGAGAAAGCCCTGGCCAGTACTTGCTTAGCCGGTTCCGCTTCCATGCAGCCAAGAAACAAGCTGCAGAGTCACCATGCACATTCCTCAGCTACCTCCGCCAGGGCTGTGGCCCTTTGCAGGAAGCCCGCCATCAACTCTCTGGCATTGGACAGCCTGGCAGGCCACCAGTGAAACACATCAGCCCCACTGCAGGCCACAGAGCCCAGGACCTCAGGGCCAGGCAGCGTGACCACCACCATGTTTCCATCCATTGGCTCTCCTTGGAACTTAAGGGATGGGGGTGGAAACTGGGGTCGTTGAATAGGATTTTTTTTTTCTTTTCAGCTGTTGATGACTGAAAAGGGAGATGACACTTTCTGACCAACTATCTTATTCAAGCACTCACAGAGGCTATGCCACTAAAGCAGAAAGGAACAGAAAACACGCCCTACCGTAAGGGTATTTAGTATCCAGCTTATTCTCCGCTGTCCTCCTCCAAGGCAACAGGTCATCGCTGCACCCATTTGGCATTCCATTGTACCCAATCCCGACAATCTTGTTTTCTGCATTCACGATGCAGGCTCCAACCTACAGGGAAATACGCCCAAGGCCTGGTGACTGCAAGTGGCTGGTCTGCCAGTGAGGGGGCAGGAAATGAAATGAGAGGCCTGCAGACCGCCTAAACAGGCGTGCGGCTTCTGCAAGTGCGAAGAGCTGTCTCCCTCCCCTCTTTCTGTGGCAGCTCCCACAAGCCGAAGAAAGTGCACCCGTGGCCCCTGAGGGGGTACAAGAGGTGGTGAACAATGGCTTGTGACAATTGACTCTCTCACACAGGAAAATGAAAGCATGTACGAAGGCGCACAAAACACAGCAGATTGAGTAGCCTATGTAAGTGGACGGGTATACACTGAGTCTCTCCCTTTGTAACTGGCTCATTTGCAGGTATCTCTGTGTCTGTACACTCCCATAAAACTCACTTACCTGCGAATTTGGATCTTTGCTTCTCTGTGCCGATAGGAAGGCCACCGCCATGAAATACTCAGGCCACTGCAAATAGTCATCACGTTTTCTCCAGGACACTTCACTCATGTTGGGTCTAGAAGGAAAAGAACCAACAGCAGTTGAGACAAGCATTTTGGTAAATCTGCTTTCCAATTCAACCCAACCACATGAAACCATGGATCTCAAACTCAGACAATTCCAGGAACATCTATCAATCCGAAATCATAGAACATGGCCCCTAGCCAGGCTCTGGCCTTAAGAAAAACATTTAAAAATTCAGTTCCTATTTCTGAAGTCTGGATTCGGCATGTATAGCTTCACATTCCCAAATACTATATCTACGTACTGCTTTCTCATAGGATTTTTTTAAAGTTACCACAAATGCCTGCCATACAATTTGTTCTCAGTCCTTGACCTCTCACCCTGATAAAATGGGGCCAGCACAAGCGGGAGGGGGAAAGAGAACACTTACGGATCCCCTAAAACATTTCAGACACTGCTGCAGGTGACCTACATGCTCTGCCTGAGGTAGGCAGTCACATCCCACCTTAGAGACGGAAAACTTAGGTAACTCCCGCTAAACCACACAGATTATCCATGCCAGTGGGATTCCATTTGGAGCTGTCCCAGCTCTGACATCAACCAAATAACTGATTTCCCCTTAGCTTCCCCAGAGGGATGGAAGTTACGAACTCTGAGCACTGAATCAAATGAGGACAAAGTATGAAAAGTGTCAAGTGCTATTGCTCAGATGAGGTCTGAGTAACATGGGCTTCACTCTCTGGTAGATGCAAGCTGTCTCTACAACAGGGAGAGCCCATGATGCGGCCTGAAGCTTCCACTCAGGGGGTCCTCTCAAGAAGCGGACAAAGGGCAAAGAAGGAAGACTACACAAGAACAGGGCGGAGATCACCGAGAAGTCCTGAGAAGACGTAGGTATCTGGGCAAAGGAAGTGAGGATTTCCCAAAACGCCGGCTTCAGGCTCTAAACCTGAAGCTGAAGCTATTGTACAGGGCTGCAGGGCTGCAGGGCCGAGGGCTGGGATGTGGTGACCGAGTCCGCACTGCGAACCGCGACTCCCCACTGATTCTGTTGCCCAAATTCTGAGAGGCTGTTAGCTCTCTGAAGACGAAGCGATGTGGGATGGGACTGTTTACCACCGAGCTTAAGGGTCAGCATTCATAATCGCTCAGGGCGCCAGATAAGTGGCTACTCCACAGAAGGTGGGGAGGGGAAGGCGAGGAGGTAAAGGAACTTATGACTCCACCGTAGGTTTGGTTTAACGGGCACTGGAGCCCCCAAACCCAGCTGCAGAAACAGAAAAGGGACTAGTCCAGGGAGATGCATCTAGTCACCGACCCGGAGAGAACCCAGGCGCCGCCCACACCCGTCGATTCCGATCCCGGGAGGAAACCGCGCATCCCCACCCCACACGTGGGCCTCCGAAGTGACTGCTCTTTTCAGACGCCCAGAACCACCTCCCTCGGCTTTACCGGGGGAGGAAGCCTCCTGGAGGCCGCGGGGTCCGCCGCCGAGTTTCCCGAGCACTCCCGGCCCCGCACAGTCTGCCCAGCAGCAGCTTTAACCGGGAGGGGAGCATCCTCGGGGCTCGCCGCTCCCAAGTCCCGGGCCGCGAGCCGGGCGCCCCGCACCGCCGCGCCCAGCGCTCGGGCCGCGCCACGTGGCACGCGGGCGGCGACCTCGCACGGCCGTCCCCGCCCATCCTCGGGCCCGGTCCCCGACCTGCAGGCCGGCGCTCGTCCCCGCCGCCGCCGCCGCCGCCGTCCCCGCCGCGCCCGGGGGAAGGAAGTCGGGAGAGGAGGCGGGGCCGCCGGGGGCCGGAAGGTGGCGCGGCCCGGGCGGCGGCGGCGGCGCGCGCTGGGAAGGGGGCGGGAGGGCGCGCTCCCGGCGGGGGTTCCCGGGCGAGGTCGCCTCCGGTTCCTTGTTCCGGTCGCGCAGGGAGCTCGCTCAGCCCGCGATCGGGCCGGCGACCTTCAGGGCCAGCGCACCAAAGACTCCTGCCGGGGCTGGCTGTCCCCTTTGCTGTGGTGGGCGGTTTGGGGTTTGCCCCTGACTGTGCGCTGTTGGCGGTGGCCCCGCCGCCCTGGGTCCCCGGCTCCCCGCGCCGCCGCTCGCGTTCGTGGTCCCCAGGTTGGGCGCCTGGAGGGACTGCGCGCGGCCGCTGCCAGGGCTCTGACCTCATAACCGTTGCATTTTTCAGATCTCTAAATCTGAGGCTGGGTCATTTGGGTTCTTGATGATGTTTGTTTTTTTCCCCACCTGGATCTGCCCTCAACCACTGCAAGCTCTCGCTGTAAATACATATTAAACGTGAATAAAAGACGATCTGAAAGAGTCTAGTGCCGTGTAACTGAAAGGGGAATGCAGTAAGGAGACCTGGGTTTGGCCTCTGGAATGCTCCAGCTGTGTCGCTGTGTCGCAATATTCCCTGGGGAATAATGACCCCTTGCAGTTTCACAGTTTCGTACAGGAGGGGTTTAGAGCAGCGAACTGGGTCGGCTGTGCCTCGAAGCACAGATGCCTCGAAGCTGTATTTGCATTTGCGCTTTGCATGGCTGCCTTACAGTTTCTACTCGAATTGTGTGGAAGGGTCTTAGATGTGTGCTAAAGCCTGCTGCCCCTTCCTAACCCCCACCATTGTGTGCCCACCCCTCTTGGTATTTCCCCATAACGTCTGCCGGCTATAAAAGTGTGCCTATTATGTTACCATTGTTTAAAAGATCAGGAAAACATGGCACAGGCCACTAGGAAAGACCATCAGTGATTTTCTGATAGGAAAGACCATCAGTGATTTTCTGAAGTCATATGCCCCAAGGAACAAATCTGATTTTCTTGAACTGCATTATTCTATTCAGACATCTAGCTCCTAAGTCTGATGGAACATTGGTTCCAGCCCAGAGAATGACAAAAGAACCTCTTTCTGTTTTACACATGGGCTTGAGGATACTGTCAGCACTCCATAAATAATAGCTACTGTAACAATCATGAGTTCTGATCGGCACATCCCAGATCTGAGCCTCTAATCCAAACAAAAGCTTGTTAACTATATTAATTTAGCCTAACGGAGGAAGAATGATGAGAATAAACAGTTGGTTCTATCTAATTTCTCACTACAGCAGACACATCATTCTTCATCTCTATGGTCCTGCCTGTAGATTCAATAATTAAATTATGTACTGCATTTGGTGGATGCCGGGAAAGCAAAGGGGAAAAATACTTCATCATTAACTATAGATTTTTTTTTCCTTGATAAGACTCAGGCTTGAAAGCACTACATAGATTAAGATGATGATTTTTAATGTCAAGTTAACTTTACTTGGCTGTCTTGTTGCCACTAAAATTTATTATATGCTGAGCTCCTGTTTCCCTTCCCCCTCCCAGATCCACTGCTTGGTCTTTGTGACACTCATCTATAGTCCTTGAGTCTTCATAGATCCATTTCTCTTCTTACCAACCTCCAACCTATACATCACCAATTGCCGCTGGTCCTTCAACCACAACATCATTAAGCTTTCTTCCTTCCTCTGCTCTGTAAAGACTGTCATACATAATTTAGCTACTTCTCATCATTCTCCATTTTGGTCAACGCACACAGTCCTCACTGCAATAAATTCAGGATGCTACTCGCTGCAAACACATTACCCTGAATGTTCCTGCATTTCACTGAAAGTCTCTCATCTTATAAGATGACATCATTCATAATCCAGGAAACCCTCCTGATTCGTAGTTTCACAACTTGAGGTTTCAATGATTCTGCACCAACAGCAAACCCGGGCAGCCAAGGAGGAAAAAAATGCATTCCTTGGTTTACCTTGCTCATTAACACCTTCTAACTCCAAGTGTGACAGTAGGTGTTAAATCTCTCTTGTTAATACCTTGTATTTTGGTTTATAATTGAGGATCTTTCTCCAGATCCCACAGACACAGAGGCTGGCTACGTTTTCAGCCATCTGAAGAGCAAGGAGAGGGAGCTTCACAAAGGATGAACTCAATCAGGTGTTTGTAAGGACTGTTGTCACAGGCTTTGGTCTGGCTCCTCCATTTATATGTCTGACCTGGAATATACTTTAGTACCTCGAATGTGGGGGATCCGGACTGAAAGGACAGAAGTCAAGGTAAGATGCTTCTGGGGCTACCCCACATGTGGATTGATGGCGTTCCTGGATGTCTGCTCTACCAAAATACTCCTTACCCTTCTCCCACTGCCTCTGCTTGCCCAGGAAACGATGTGACTTCCAACCTAGAACAGAGGCACGGAGTCTGGACAGTGGCTAATATGTGCATCGAGTTTGTTGTGGGAGAAAAGGCACAGGGCTTCGAGTCAAACCAGACTTTGAACTCGAATTCCACTTTTACTACCCAAGTGACCTTCAGAAGTTACGTACATTCTGGGAATCTTTGTTTCCTCATCTGTAAAATCAACGTTCATCCATTCAATCATTTTTATTAATTCTCTATGTGGTAGGTGCTTTGATTACCAACAGTGAGAAATATAACCAGTTTTTGCTCTCACAGGGTTTACTCCCCCTTCTCTCAAATGCTGAATACATTATCCTCATTGCTGGCTCTGTTAACAAAGTAAATGTTAGTATAAGATAAGTCACCCACTGGAATATCTTTGTTCTTAATCCAGTGGCCGTCAGCACCAAAACCTTCTTTTCATAGCTCAACAAGAGCATTTAGAAGCAAAGTACCATTTTTACTGTTTTTCGAAGGAATAATTGTTTATATTTCCATGCAGTGGTCCAAACTATTTAAACCTTAAGTAAGTAGATGGATGGAATTCTACGAAACCAGAAGAAAAGTCAATGAAAATTCTAGAAAAAAAATTAAGTACGTGGTCTTGTCTATATATAAATTTTTATATGTGAGTTAGAGCATGAGGTCAGTTGTTTGTGTTCGATGAAACACATACAGACTTCAAACTGATATGACAGAATATTCCCGTGCAAAAAATTCAAGATTCCTAAATAGGATTTGTGTTATGAGTTGATGCCCTCAAGTTTCTTTATCATTCCACATCTTCCAAATCTTCATGAAGGTCAATGAGGAAATGTTAACTTGGCATCTGCACAGAGCTGGGTGCTTTGCTATCGTATATCAATAAATGTTTGTCAGCTAAAGAGTGAATTAATGGACAATAATAGCTTTATGCCAAATTTTTTGGAGCCTCCAATGCCTAAAAAGTCTTTGTCTCTAAACTCTAGTTTTACCTCTCTATTGGCTTCCTTCGTCTCCTGGGGTTTAAAGAACTTGGAAAGACATTTGTTCAGTGAGGTCTTGGGGCCAATGGGTCAGGAACCAAGGGCTTAAGCAGAGTTGTTTTCAAGAGGTGTAGCATCTCAGTCTTAGGCTTTGAGTCTTGCCTGGCAAATAACCATCTCTAGAACCAGAATGGAAGGCAGCGGGGAAGGCGGTGTGCTTTTTTGTGGTGTCGATTCTCCCACAACTTCCTTTTCCTCTACAGAGCTGAACTTGTCGCCTCTTTCATACATAACCCGTTGAAGTGGATGGAAATTACATGTCTCATCACTTCAGAAAAGAACAAAATACATAAAATGTAAATCTAAAAGAAATGGGCAATTTTCTTGTGCCACTTTATATTTCTGTGTAAGTTACCAGGTGCCAATCACTCTTACTTTTTAAAATTCAAATTTGTCAAGCAGCCTGTAAGCTTTGTGTTGTACAAGAAAAGATAATGCTTCATGTGGAACAGTCACTTATGCTCGTTCTGCAAAAGTACCTGCCAAAAGAGAATTTGTCAGATTGCTGGTTTTATAGAAATATTAACGATCTCAATAAATTTTCCCTCTTCTCTGGAGTCACCATGGAATCTACTGAAAGGTAGTCAACAAGGCATTATGGTTCTGGAAATAGAATTCTTTGTTGACATCAAAGTCACTACTCACTTCATGGTGTGTATTTAACTGATGTAACAAGTCAAGTGCCCAAGAATCATTGCAAATGAAAACCCCTGTTAAATTGTATTTGGTGTTTAATGGCTATCATAACTTGCCTGACATGCTGTGCCTTCCCTCAGCTAACTGGAGAGCTCACTGGGGGTGAACTCTAAAATGAGAAAGCAAGAATCAAATTAATATTTTAGTATTGCAGTTCACTATGTATGTGTGTGTTAAGTGTATCAACTGTGATCCTGCCATGACAATGACATCAATGCCATGAGGTGAAAAGTCATCTTCTACAGGCATGAACAAACGAAATAAGGAAGGAAGCCTAACCTATTAGAATAACTTTTGATGCTGTTCACAGGAAGAAATTCTAAGCTTTGATGCAGGGAGTGATGGAGAACAACATGGCAGCAACAAGGTCAGAGTCATCCGAAGGTCCCATTGTTGACCAATCTCTGTCTGCTCAGTGTTTGATAGACAACCCAGAGATGATGAAAGGTAGAGAGCTGTCAGCCACGAAGCATTTCGAGATACTTTGACAGTAATGCTATCTTCAAATTAGCCCTGGATTCAGTTACATATCAACCAATGGGAGTAGAATGACGCTCGTGAAATCATCCTTCTGAGAATGAGAGAGATTTAATAGTTTGGTGGTTACAGTAACCACTATCCTGCAAGAAAAAATCAATAGCTACACAGTGTTAGAATCACACCAAGGGCTCCCGGAGCTGAGCCA